GGCTCCTTTGATAATACAGCACTGGAAGCCTCAACCTTGCTTTTGCATTGCAATGTCTGAAGTGAGCCAGTAACTTTCTGACACAGAGGTAAGAGCAGTATCTGGTATCTGCCTTCACCCTCTTGTCATGTTTGGGTCACTGCTTCAGAACTGCAACTTCACAACAATGCCAGCTGTAGAACGCAGTTTGTTAGTAAGATCACTCAAATAATCTCATCAAGGAGGTCGCTTTGGCTTTGATCTAGATTGCAATGCTTTATATACGGACCTCGCTGGCCAGTGGGCGATGAAGAGCTTGTAACATAACTGGTACAAAAACAGAAATTGCCAGCAAAGCTCAGCAGGTCTGGCTGCAGAGAAATCAAGGTTAACATTTCAGGTCCAGTGACCCTTCCTCCGAATTGATAATAGCTAGGAAAATGTTGGTTTTTATGCCTGCTATAACTGGTAATTGCTCCTTATCATTCTACGTGTATGCCACTCTCAATTGGGTATTTTTAAAAATTCATTTATGGATGTGAGTCACCACTGGGCCAGCATTTACTGCCCATCCTATTGTCTTGGAGAAGTTGCTGCCTTTTTAAGTTGCTGCAAATTTGAATGTAGGGACACCCGCAGCGCTGTTATGCAAGGATCTCCAGGATTTTGATCCTGTGACAGCAAAGGAATGGTACTGTATTTTCACATAAAGATGGTGTGAGTTTGGAAGGTGTTGTCAAAAGAGCCTTGGTGAATTTCTGCAGTGAATCTTGTAGAAGGCACACACTGAGCGTCGGTGGTGAAGGGAGTGGATTTTGTAAGTAGTGGATAGACTGCCAATCAAGTGAGTTGATTATCCTGGAGAATGACAAGCTTGTACAATCAGCACCATTACTGTTTCTTTTATCTATTGTTGTGAAGGGAAGCTTACACTCTATATTCACTCACACTCTTATTCCATGCCATCATATTGCTGCTTTTTGTTCACTGTAAAAATAAGCTTGTGATGCCCAGGAATGGTGCGTTGTTACCTTTCAGGCTTTTTGAACTTACCCCCTGATTTTAACACAGATATTATTTTATTGTTACTTGGGGTGCATTAAGGTTCAGGTTAGCCCCAGCAATAGCAATTTACAATGTACAATGACAGTAGTACTTGAACCTACTCAATAGGAAAGTTTGAAACAGGAGTAAGTTAATGAAATCTGTGTCAAGCTAGGATTAGAAAAGAAGTGTGAGCATCTGGTTCATTGTTTGTTCGGTAAGTTGCTATGGGGATTGGTTAGCTCAGTTGGCTGGATGGTTAAATTATAATTCAAAGTGATTCTGACACTGCAGGTTCAATTCCCACACCAGCTGAGATTACTCTCAATATCAACTGAGGTGTGGTGATCCTCTGGTTAAGCTCACCACCAGTTACCACTCTGTAATGAGAGAGTAGGACTGTAGTGACCTTTTTTTTTAACAAATTCAGTGTTCACCATCACAGCTTCTCCTATTTGGCTAGGGAAAGGAAATAAAAGGCTGGCATTTATCTGGCTCCTTGTACATCCCCAGGACATCTCAAAGTGCTTTACAGCTGACGACGCACAGTGAAACCTCACACACCAGTCTTCGCTTTGCTTACCGTCTGAAACATCCCATATACCATTTCACCCATGGGACATCTGAGGTTAGTTTAACAGAACACAAAAGGAGAAAAAGCCAAGTAACAAAAAATGCCTCAATTAATGTAAAATAAATTAAGATATGAGGCTCTGTACTGTTTCTCCTGGAGCGGAAAGTGTGTGCATTTGTGTGTGTGTGTGTGTGTGTGTGTGTGTGTGTGTGCGTGTGTGTGTGTGTGTGTGTGTGTGTGTGTGTGTGAGAGAGAGTGAGAGAGAGAAGAATTGCGTGTGTCTGTGTGTATGTGTGTGTAAGAAAGACAGTGAGAGTGTTTGTGTATGTGTATGAGAGGGAGAGTGAGGGTGTGTGTGCGAGATGATGAGGATGATTGTGTATGTGTATGAGAGGGACGGTGAGGGTGTGTGTGTGTGAGACGATGAGGATGTTTGTGTATGTGTATGAGAGGGAGGGTGAGGGTGTGTGTGTAAGACGATGAGGATGTTTGTGTATGTGTATGAGAGGGAGGGTGAGGGTGTGT